GGCTGGCAATGTCCCCGACTGAGAGAAACCAGCCCGACTAGACATCCATTTGGACTGGCGCGAACATCTGCCAGAAAACAAAGACAAGCTTGCCTGGCTTCTCGTTGGATGGCACGCCTCAAATGGTCAGCCATTGCTCCTTCAAGAAGATCTCCAAAATCTATCACCATTTGAGTGCGCGCCACTTTCCCCCGCCATGCCCGCTTTGAGCGAAAGCTACGCAGGAGGGTCGTGTCACCTGGGGCGCACGTCAAGTCGAAAGCGTGCATCGCACCGCGCAATCCTCTGGGCGCAATCAAGCAACCAAAGTCAAAAGCAGCAAGAAGTTGTTAAAACTTTGAACGAATGTCAGGGCTGGTAGGACGGAGACTGCAAACATCTACACTTCCTGGACAATTGCATTGGCATTGCGATCAAGTACCCTACGTACATCCTATCGCCAAACCAGGCGATCTATTTTGATTTGGAAGTCATAGACATAGCATGGCTCTTCGGGAACAAGTCCCGACCCAGCTCGATGTTCAATGCGCAGATCTTCTGTGTCAAGCCCGTATCAAGTGCATGGCGATTGAATTGTTGCTCTTGTTACTCTTGTTTCTGCCAGTCAGCAGCTCAACGAGCCGGAATTGCGTAGTCAAGCCATTGAAAGAATGTGAGAGCGAAACTGCAAACATGCCCACTTCCTGCGGCGCAGCGTTGGGCTGATCAAGTATACATCCTATCGCCAGACCATCTGCATCTTTAATGGGAGTTTTAGACGCGTGTCCAGGCCCAGGAGCTCCGGTTCAACACCAGGTGCGCTACCCAAGTCGCTGGCAGCATCGTTTGCTCTGTTGCCACAAGCTGTTGATCGATTGAGTTGACAGGGCCACCACGAAAAATGAGAGTGTAAACGGCCTTACCCTCAAGGACCCCGGTATGTTCTTGAAGCATCTGAGTTCGACGACTGCGTGAGCATTTTCGTCTGGACTTACGCCCCAAAATCAGTCTCAAAACGGCGCGATGTCCCAGTGACCTACGGAACACTGGCCAGGATGCTCAAGTCCGGGTTTCCAGAAGCTCGGATCCACACGGAAGAAACAAACCCTGGCCAGCATACGCATGGCAACGGGATTCGCCATGAAGCAGCGACTGGATTGCCTCAGTGTCAGTTTCTTTTCACTCCTCGCGGAACCCGAAACCGCAGGATTTCGGGAAGCCCACGCTGGACCCTGCGGAGTATGAACAAAAGCGGGGGGGCGGAAGCGACCGGAAGTCAGGCAGCATCCAAGTCGCTTTGTGCAGGACAAGGGGTTCGGCTTTGAAGTCGCGCCTCAGAGGCATCTCCGCTACGTACGCATTGGCCAACTTGGACACGCCTGAGCAGACACGATGCCACACATTCGCAATCAAGCTGGGACCTTGGCATCACTAACCCTCTGTGAATGACCAAAGACCTGCCGTTGGTCCGCATCATATTGTCATGGCTCTGTTTGCAGTTCGGGGAGTTTGGCTACGCACAATGCTTGGCAACGGATGCTGCGTAGCCAAAGCCGCAGCGGCAACCTGACTCGAGGGCTGTCTCCATTCTCTAGATGACCAGTCGCGACAGCTCTAAGATACAAAGCTGCGGCCTCTGTGTAGACCTCCCAACCGCATTACTTTTCGGCTGACCGCAGCCAGCTTTGTGCTGGCGGCCAAAACTTTCAGGCCCCTTCGGGGCTCAAAGAACACGCAGGCCTAGCCAGGCACGGCGCCAGTCCGGACCCAAAGGTTTTCAGCCGGCTTGCAATGGAAGATTTGGGGCCCGCATGCGAAAGGCTCACATCTAAAACCTGGGCCATGCCAACATGCCCACAGCCTCGCCCGACAAATGGCGGCAAGTCTCTGGCTGCGAATGGCCTCACAAAGGACATGCGGTCAAAGGGCTCGCCTCTACAAGCCTCCGCGTCTGTCCAGGTTCAATGGGCTCTTTGGCTTGGCTGGTCTTTTCACTGTCCGCATCGGGCAGACAACCTGGCCGCGCTTGCTGGCATAAACATCCTTCGGATCTTGGAAGAGGCATCGGGCCCATTGACACCGAGCTGTGCACAGAGCCCACTCAAGGCTCAGCCAGTTCTCGCTTCGCGCATTGAGGTCCGGCGAGCTGTTGACGAAGGGAGAACAAGGAAGCTGCACACATTCATGTTGTTCCGGGACCAGCGCACAGGTTTGCACGTTGGCGGCTGACTTTGCGGGCCTTTGCTTGAGGCACAGGGCCTGGTCATGGATCAGTCTGCTTTGATTTGTGGGGTTGATGTTATGGTGAGCCGACACTCACGGGCCAAACCCGAGCAATTCCAGGACTGCAGCTGGCTCAGAAGGCAGGGAAACTGCGCAAACGCAAAGAACAAATGGCGTCAGTGCATCAGCCGCTACCACGCTCCTCCACACATTCACTCTTGGTCGCACAAGGCCTTAGGGAAAACAAGGTGAAGCTGCTGACAGGATCTGGACTCCAGGCGGAAATATTGTTTCCGGCCACCTTGGTGTTTTTGTTGCGTGGCACGAATCCTCGCCGATCCTTGAAGTTCCTTTGGCGCGGCTCTGGTGCGCAAACCGCAGCCAAGTCAGGGGCAAGCACACGCGCAGGCGCTGCCGGCCGGCGGCGCCTACCAATTGCTTCTGCTGCCCTGTCCGCGGCAAAGCCTTTGGGCTGGCAGCCAGGTCTCGGGCGCTGTTTGTCCCAGGCACTGGCCGCCTACGGAATCACACCGACCGCGAGCACGGGTTCTGTTGGAAGGACAAGAATGTTCTGGCCACTACGGGGAATCCGCGAACTCGCGCTGACAGGTGCTACGGCAGCGTTCTGCAGCTTTGCCCTTGCGCGCACGTGCGCTCTGAAACGGCAAATCTGACTCCGGGCTCACTTCATTGTGCGAGTCGTCCGCACCACAGCACTCTCCTGCACCTTACGGCAGATTATGAGGCGCCTCTCCAAAGGCGACCCTCTGCTTTGAGACAAGTAACACTTTGGCAGCTTCTGCGCTTGCGAGGCGTGGGGCATCATGTCACTTGCGCTGCAAGCATGTGTATCGAGGATGGTTGAAAGACAGGCTAGCGATTGGGCAAGAAGGAAGGAGTACAGCTGGCTCAGAAGGCATGGAAGCTGCGCAAATGCAAAGAACAAATGGCATCAGTGCGTCAGGCGCCACCACGCACCTCGCACATCACGAGTGGGCGCGCAGGCCCTTTGGGATTTCAAGGTGAAGCTGGTGACAGGATCTGGACTTCCGGCCGGCTTGGTGTTTTTGTTGAAAGATAAGATCGAATCGTTTCATTGCTGCGCAGTATTGAAACACACCAAGGGGCTGCCTAAGAAGGTTTCGCAAAATCACGCGCTAGCCCCCTACCCATTGAAAGGCCACCAGTCTGCCTCACCTTGACTTTCGCAGATCTGCTAGCCTGTCAGCTGCAAAGCCTTGCTTGCTGGGCTGGCACTGACTGTTCGGCCTAGGAGCTTGCACTTGCCGACTATGGATTAATCCGCAAGCTTGGGCTCTCTTGCCGGGGGGGGTGCTTCGGCAGGGTTCTGACTTTGCCCTGCGCGCATGCGCACTGAAACGGCAAGCATGTTCTGCGCTCAGCATTTGGTGAGCCATACCATCGTTGGGTGAGTCGTCCACCCCACGGCACTCTCTTACACTGCCCCTAGATGTGGAAATTGCGACTTCTGCACGCGCAAAGAGATTTGGCTGCGAATTATGAGACCAGTAACAGTCTGGGAGTCTTTGCGCAGTCAAAATGCAATTTGCCAGAGGTCTATGCAACACGGCTTGCTCGAATTCGTGAGGCATCATGTCATCTGCTCTGCAAGCATGTCCAACGAGGACGCTCAGCGACCGGGCAAGAAGTTCACCCACCAAGATCAGTTCGAACACGGCAGCATGCGGAAACCCGGTGTCCCATCACACTCCATCTGATGCGAGCTTAGCACGCAACATGTCTGTTCTGACAGTTCAGACTAGGCCAGAGCCGCAAACATCACTCAAACACCCAGGGGCAGCCAACATCTGACTGGTTTCTCCATACAGCGCCGCAATGAAACACTCATCTTCACACGGACCCTCTGCTGGAAAGAAAACGCTACGTCCATCAGTCCCGTTGAGGGTGTTGCAACCGCAAACAGTTACCACAATTATTGGACAATCACAAACACACTACGGAAACTGGCAAACAAACTCGCACACATGCACACAAACGCGCAGACACACACACACACACACAAAGAGACACACGGAGACAACATGGACACGCACACACACACACACACACACAGAGACGACTCTTCACACATTTGACTCACAACAAAGGCCATCATAAAGAGTTGCCGAAGGGCGATGCGATGTGTGTACTTTCCTCTATTTCTGTTACGCTGAGCTAGCCAGCCTCGTGGACACGTTTTCGTCCCCCCCTCTCGTTGTTCCCTGGTTTCACGCGAAAAATCCCTGGGGGCAGCAGGTGAAAGCACCATTAGTCATTGCGAGGGTCACGACACATGGCGACACATGTCGCGAACGTTCACGAGCTCCCGAGAGGTCACGCAAACATGATGCATTTACATTTACATTAGCTAGGTCCTCCAATAGAGGGTTAGAATAAGGGTACCCTTTTTTCTGTAGTCTATTTTAGTAGGGGAACCCTCCCCCCAAAAAAGGGTAAAAGGGCACCTAGCTGGGCGACCTAGATTAGCAGTTTCGTGAGCGTTTGCCAACTCATGTTGCCCAGAACGAAGCAAATTTGGTTTGCGCGGGTCTGGTCGACTTGGCCGTCTTTGAGGCTGTGCAATTTTCGACCGGGCACCAATCCTGAAACGGAGGTGACCTTCCGCGTGTTTAGGACGACATACATATTATGTTGCAGCATTCTTTACGAGCGATAATGGGGGCCTTCAAAACACCGGTTGCTTCTGCTCGGCCATAGGAAACCAAAGTTGGACAAAGCACGCAATGACTTCTGGCCCGTTTTCCGCGTCTCCCGGCCAGTTCGAGGTCCCCTCCGCATGGAGACCCTGCTGCTCCTGCGAGGCCGTGTCTCTTTTGAGATTTGGTTCAGTTTGAACTTGGGCGTTCAAATATCAACCCAAACAATACTTGCTATTCATACTGTTCTTGTTTCTTTCCTTCTTGGTCTTTTTGGTTATGTGTGTGTGTGTGCTGTGTGGTGTGTGGTGTGTGGTGTGTGGTGTGTGGTGTGTGGTGCACCTCTGCCTCAAGGTAGACCAACAGGACATCAACCATTTGAACCAAATCCGCTGTTCGGAGGAGAACCTCTGAATTGAGGAAGCCAAGAGCTCTTTCTAATGGTTTGTGGCCTTTGAACCCCAGCTGAGCTGGCTACCATTTGCCCACAACCATTCAAGGGTCATTTAACATCAACCTGGGATCAAATCTGGAAGACCGTACTCACTGGCATGCCCCCCCCCAAAAGGGAAAACGATCTATTCTCGGGGCCCGAATCTTCGGGCTGGGGTCCTTCCACTTCAGCGCATAGGTCGGGCATAGCCTCGGGCGTTTGGCCGGCCCCAGGTCCAAAGGGAAAACCAGAAGGAACGCCGCCATTTTCGGATCCCACCAGCGCATGTGGCTCAAAGGCGGTTTCTACATAGACCTGGACAAATGGAGCAATTACCCATTATTTTTTATCTTGGATTCGATCATCACAATGAACCCGTGGCCGTGTCCGGCCAAAAGTGACTTGTCCTAAATGGAGCAATATTCGACTGTTGACAACTTATCCAGGGGTTCATAAAAGGGTTTCATGTATAGACGTACACGTTCAAATCTTGAACGTGACAGTCAATCATGGTCATCCTACAACACCACCCCTCACCTGGAGTACTGTCCCTTGGAATTGGCCCCCAAGCGTAAGGGGAAATGCAGGGGGCCCCGTCACCATGCTCCGTTGAACAGCAGGACACCCCCAAAGCTCCCGTAGCAGATTCCCTTGGACCCGTGGTTGTGGGGCGGTCTTTGTCCGAGGTTTGGTGTGACACATGACACCCTGCCTACAGCCCCCCGAAACACCTCAAGAGTACCTATCCCAAATACTTGGAAGATCCCGAATTGAAACCTGAGGAGCATCTTTCTATCGGTGCCAGGGGGCCTCTTTTTTATTTTTCTCTTTCCCTTTTTTTTTTGTGGGGGGGGAGATGTCCCCCGGTGTTTCAGAACTCCCGATTCCATCGATAAAGTGTGAGCCACAAACCATGCAATGCAAAACAATAATGAGCGTGATGCCCAAATCGGCTGTTAACAACCTATGACTATGATCTTGCAGATTCATTCTATCTTAGGGTGCAGCAGATATCCCCTTCATTTCATTCAGTCACGGAACATCCCTTATGGTTGGTGTTCAAGAGGAATTTCACCAAGGCGTTAGTATCATCCCTGCCAGACATGAAGCATCAACAGCAGTCGAGACCCCTTTGGCCGAATTGTAAGACATGAGGTAAGCATTGACCTGGACAAAATGCATGACACATACTGTATGGATGTTGCCCATCTGTCCGTGCCATTGACCCACGAGCTTCCATCACGTGGTCTACCCATGGAACAATTCCCTAGGAGGCCAAGACCTCATTTCTTTGGTCTTTTGGGGGGTCAGAGTCAGGGCCCTCATATTTAGGGTCTTGGGCTCCTACTGTAGAATAGAACCATCCCATCTTCGCCCGGAATCTTGTGCTGCAATGAGCAAGTAGCTCAGTGACTGTTCTAAGTGACATGGCAGTTGATCTTTGCTGCCTCGGAGTTGGGGCGATGCGGAGCTTGTCAAACATCTGACGCTGAGATCATCGACAGGACTGCGATCGCCGGGCGAGCGCAGAAGGCAAACTCCATGGCTTACAAAGCTGGCCGTGTCTGTTTTCTCGGGACCCACAAATGGAAACTTTGGTGCTCCTCTTGGTTTCCCTTTGAAACCGACCAAATTTTTCCTGGGCTTCCTTCTCAAATCCCAGCTGTGGAGCCCGGTTTTTCTAAGGGTGTGCAATGTCAAGCGTTGATTGGGGGGAGGGCGGTCCCTGGGTGCGTCAGACATCACAGAGGGACGGACCCCAACCCCCCGAAAAAAGGATGCGGTTTATTTGTTTGTTCTTCCTGAGACTGGCGGAGTCCAAATATTTTGCTTGCCACTAAAATGCCAAAGGGTTGAGTTTTGTTCAGCTCCCTACCCATGGCTATGGTGGCTCTGACTCTGCGGCAACTAGACATTCCAACATCCAGCTCGAAAGAACTCTGGGTATGAGAAGTCCGGCGAAGATGTGTACTTCCCTTCATGGCTTTTCAATTCAGGGAATGCCAAATCTCGATGATTCAGCACCCAACACTTGTGCAGTGCTCATGAAACCCAGCTGCGCCGAGCAAATGTCCGAGTCGCCGGCAGATTGTAAGTACCTGGGAGGCTGCTGCAAAGGCCACTCACTGCCGGGACATGCCGGGACACGGGCAGAGCTTCAAGGGAAATCCTGGGGTTGTTGCCTTT